TGCGGCTGAGTCATCGCTTTAGGCTCTGAATGAGTTGTTTGAGAATGACGTAAGCTTTTTTTTCTCATTCTGTCAGTCAAGACTTGGCTTATTGTTCTTCCTTGAAAGTTTATCAGCAGTACTACCACCAGAAAATAGCGTGCTAAAAGCCATCCAGTTATTACAAAGCGCTTTTAAATTCCTCAGGCAGCAGAAATAATGACTTTTTTTTTGGCTCCGGCCTTCCATTTTTCATGCCGCTGTCACAGCCAATTATTTGATTTGGAACCAGACTGCTCATTTGCATATGGCCTAAATATAGTCAGAGAATGTCTATGCAAACAAAGTGCAATATATTTACATTCTCTATATTTCTCATATGCACGAAATCACAAAATAGGACATGAATATAAGCGTTCGAGCAATACAGTCACGGTCTGTTACAAAACCTAGTGAGCTGCCTTCTTATGAAATGAGACTTCATAAGTGGCTGATTCAAGACATTCTACATACACAGCATCATACAAATTACTTATGCACGTTATTAAATTACTTATGCAATAAAGTGCACAAGATTTTGTTGTTTTATGATATGATAATTACTGTTTCTGATGCCTGATGACACAAATTCAAAATCAGACATTGTTGCTGATTTTTCTTTTTTTTTATTGTTTTTACTCTTTTAAATATTTGTATATTATTTGATCATGTTATCATTTTTATTTAGGATTTTATTTTAGGATTTTTTTTATTCAAACGGTACAAAACAGGTCTTACGTTTCTACTTGTTTTAGAAAGCAGCAAGAAGAAATGTTAAGTATAAATAATAATAAAAAAAGAAACAAAAACAAGGGTTTTGCTCACAGAAGAAAAATAGCATAATTGTAAGACTTTAAACAGATTTCAATAGCTGATAAACGAAACAATTTCTTATACATATTAAATACACAAACAATTATGTAAAATATATTTTTTAAATCACACATTTTATTATATTACTAAATTTATAATATGAATTTACATTCATTATATACCAATTTATAATCTATTTGTGTAAATATAATCTATTATATATTATATACTATACTGTATATATGTTTATAATGAATATATTTTTTATTAATAAATCAACGTTTTTATCTACACTTCTCAGTATTGAATCAACTCTACCTATATATTTATAATCAAAATTTCTTTCACCTTGTATACCATCCTGGATTTTTTTCACTGTGCACAGCGAAATGCATTATGGGATTGACTTGTGTACCAAGAATACATGCTTAATCTTAAAAGGCAACATAATCATGCATTTCAGAACTGCATTCCCGCTGTGAGGACTTAAAATGCTACCCACGTAGGCAGCTCACTAGGTTTTGGAACAGAGCCTCAGTGTGTGTGTGTGTGTGTTTGTTTGTGTGTGTTTGTGTTTGTGTGTGTGTGTTGACCGCCAGTCATATGTTTTGCATCTTTACGTAATGGAGCTCCTGGTACGATATCCCATAAGAAAGAGAGGGAATGCAAATTAGATATGACTGTTATACAATAGGCAGCATTCCAAGATGGAGAGGAAACGAGAGAGAATAATTAGATTTTTCTGGTGAAATCAAGCACTGAGCCATTCATGACTCTCTGTTCTGTTCTCTAATGGGTCACGGACCCGCGAGGCCATAGATTCGAGTCAGGATAAACATTTTATATGGAAAGAAATGAAGTATTCGATCATTTACAGTGGATAAGCAGGAAGCAAGAATGTGCTACTGTAATACTGCAAAATTCTCAATGTCACAAAAGCTTTTAATGGTTAGTTTTCCACAAATCAGATGGTAACATAGAAGCTCTATGCTGTCTCCCAAGACATTTTCCAAAAGAAAACCTGGTCCAGGATAAATCCATCTGCGGCCAGAAACGCAGCTCTGATTTAAACCTTTATTAAATCCAAAACACACATTCAAGCGCTTTCCTCCTGAACCCAGCTGCCTTTCCACTGAAACAGTTTAAACACACTATGAAATCTGTTAAGGGTGGGATTAAGCACTTTAAAATGATTGGTGCTTAAATATTCTTTCTTTGAAGGATTTGTTGATTTAGAGGCTTCTCACATCATATTAAGTCCATCCTTGTTTTAAGCAAGTGGAAATACAGTACTATTAGCAGGAATTAGATAGGCTTAAAATGAATAATTACAGCAGGAATTAGGCTTTCTGTTGCAGAGAGGTATATTGACTGTTTGCCACATTTTTAATTGCTGGACTTTACTTATTACTCGAGAGAGTCTAATAAGCGAGATTTAGTTTTGAGCAGAGGACGAGTCGTCCCGCTCCGCTTTCACTGCAGCGGCCGTCACACAACGCTGCAAAACTGCTTTGACACTGCATTTATTCCACCTCTAATAGCTGGATGACCACACTCTCTGTTTGTGTTTCTCTGTGCCGTTTATGTGCCGTCGAGTGGAAGGATTTCCTGAAGCAAGAACTCTAATGCTAACATTAACGATAGCTCCACAGCTCTTCTCCCAGGAGCTTTCTAGACTAATTTAGATGCACTCTTAACCCAAATTCCTGCTTTATTTACTGATCATGTGGAGGGCCGGGTGTATTATATCGCAATATTTTTTAGCCTGTTTGAGATATTCAAGATATTTAAATATATCCATGGAAATGATTCATTCAGAATAACCGTTTCAACCAAATAAGCTATTGTTCACAAATAGATTCAAAATGATTCAACCAAGAAGTAAAATACAGGGGGGGGGGGCAAAAAATAATGAATTGCATTAAAGGGGCCATCGGATGCCCATTTTCCACAAGTTGATATGATTCTTTAGGGTCTTAATGAAAAGTCTGTAACATAGTTTGGTTAAAAGGTCTCATTGTAAGTGTAGAAAACACCTTTTTTACCCTGTCAAAAACAGCTCTTTTCAGAGCAAGCTGTTTTGTAGCATTTTCCTTTAAATGTTAATGAGCTCTGCTGCCCCCGCCCCTCTCTTCCGAGCCGCTCTCTGAGGGACTGTTTGCTTTAGGGACTGTCCGCATTCATCGTGAAACTTGCTAATTAGCACATTATTAGGAAAGGCGATTTGCAAAGATTAATTTAAAAAAAAAACCTTACACTCACTTCTGTAGGTGAAGCTGGATCAGGAATGATTTGCGCGCACATAAACGCATTTATGTAGATCGGGGGCACATTCCCTTCAAAAACAAACGAAATCCACAGCGTCTTCAGCCGCTCAGATGTCGGAAGTAAATGCTGCTTGTAAAAGTGCATCAAACATGTAGCATCCGATGACCACTTTAAATGAAAGTAAAAAATGTCATATATATGCCCCAATAAAACACTAAATAGTCATAAACAACAAATTTGCATGCATATATTCATACGAAATATTTTAACGTATGAAAAATGCCACATAAAAGATGTCTGTGAACATTCTGTGATGGCACAAAGAAATCACTGAATCAGAGTTTTGAATCAATTCACTGAACTAATTTGGAGAAATAAATCAAACAACTCTAACACTGTTTTTGTGACTGAAGTTTAAATGAAAGAAGCCATTAAAATTTGTTTTTGAAAGGCATGAGACAAGAAAGGAAAACAAAACTAGTCAAAACTTAATGGCTGGATAAAATAATCATGATATTCTAAATAATTTGAATTCTCTCTGCATAATTTTAAATCGTCAGTAAAAGTATGCCATGAATATTGGATATAGTCAAACCTAAATGTGAATATTATTCTCCAGAACTGTCATTACATTGTTTTTTAACACTCTTTTTGTATTAATCTTATATTATATATTATTTAATGAGCAAACTAACTAACAATATATCTTACAATAAATGTTTTTTTGAAATGCAACAGAAAATTGTTTGATTAATAATTATTCATGTGGTGATGTGTGTTTGTGGATCATCCAGGGACTCAAATTCTTCATAAATAAAACCAACTTCATCTCATTTGATTATTCAAACAGATTGCTCCTATTCTAAAGTCTGATTGGTTGAGGCACATTTAAAACCCTCCAGTGACTGTGCATCAATTGAATTCTGTATTAATGCAGTGAATCATATTGTTACTTGGCAACCGTCAACAACTAGCGTTTCGCTTATCAAACATACATTTTTCTCACATTAAGAAAATTATGCACTTTTCTGTTTGTTTACATTTAAATATCATAAAACAGCCTTGCCCTCTAATAATCAGAAAAATGTACACTCCCATTTAAAAGTATGTTGTTCTTTTAAAATAAAATTGATCAAAAGTGACAGTAAAGACATTTTTAATGTTACAAAAGATTTCTATTTCAGCAAAACTATTCATAAATGAATCCTGAAGAAAACTGCTTTTAACATTGATGATGATAGGACATGTTTCTTGAGCAGCAAATCAGCATATTAGAATGATTTCTGAAGGATCATGTGACACTGAAGCCTGGAGTAATGATGCTGAAAAATCAGCTTTGCATCACAGGAATAAATTTCATTTTACAATATATTCAAATCGAAATCAGTTATTTAAAATTGTAATAATATTTCACAATATTGCTGTTTTTACTGTATTTGTAATTAAATAAATGCAGACTTGGTGAGCAAAAGTGACTTCAAAAACATGTAGTGTATACAGTACAGTACAATAAATACCAGCTCATGCATTTCTACCATCACACTGTATATTCAATTACAGCATCCAGCTCTGATGTTTAATGTGTTTGAATGCGAGACTGCCTGTGAGTCACATCACCCGCCTGGAAAGGAGTATTTATGAAGCACAAGTGCAGCACAAGTTCATTAGCACAAATCCCATTGAGCCCAAGTGTGTGTGTTTGACTGTTAATATGAGTGTTTTTGGCTCCTTTCTGGTTGCCCTCATTCACCTCTACAGATTATGGTGCTGTGCCTGCTATCGACTGTCTCTCCGCTGTCTGTTTTCCCTCTCGCTCTCTCTCTCCCTCCCTCTGATGATGGTAAAAATATCTGCAGGAGCACAGGCACAGCTCTCTCTCTCTCTCTCCCACCCATGTGATCTCTCAGGCAGGCGTCGCTGTGCACAATCTCCAGCCCTCCGCTGGCTGCAGCTAATGAGTCTTTGTGTGGCTCGAGCGAATGAGAGCGAGTCTTCGGTCTGTTTTAGACCGGAGCGTATGCTAACAGCAGTGGAGACCGGGTTTACCGCTCTCGCCCCGGTCTCCTCTCGAGTCCCAGTGCAATGGAGGGCCTTCATTCAGACCGTCTCATCTGGCTCTGAACGGCGTGAGGGAGGAGTGTAAAGCGGCGGCGGACGCAGGTTGGTGCATTTTGAAGTGAAGCATGACTCATGCCCTGTGTTTCTGTTCTGATGTGTCACGCACGGCCTGATGGGAAATCTGAGGTTAACTTCTGAGCACGCTCGCTGCTGCACTATATGAGATGCCAGTAGGAATGTGTTAACCTGTAGAGATTTTCAGATTATAACATGGTAGATTTGTGTCTCAAACCAGTCAAGAAGAGGAACTTGTTGTTAAGGGGCTTTAAGTTAACTGTATATGGTTGCCAAGCAACTTTATAACTTGCTTCATTAATGTAAAACATTTTTTTTTAATTAATGTGCATCATAGGTGTACATTACTACATTGTCTGTTTTATTATATTAAAAATATCTCAACTACATATATATATACAGTATAGAGAGAGAGAGAGTATGACTTGTCAATTGTTTTGAATAATCTTTTGGTCAGCTTCCATCAAGTTCCAAATAAGAAGGGAAAATTATCAATTGAAATGTTGAAATGAAGCAGCTTTCATTTGTAAAAATTAAATGTATAAATATAGATTATCCCAAAATATGTATTTCCATATGACTGTGTTAATATATAAATCTTTCTTATAGATTAAATTAAATATAGATTATCTTAAAATAGGTATTACCACATAAATGTATTTATATACAAACATTTTTTTTATAGATTAATTAAATATATTAAACAGAGATGATTCCAAAATAGGTATTAACACATGACTTACTAAATAAACTAAAAAAAAAAATAATAATTATATATATATACAGTATATATATATACAGTATATATATATATATATATATATATATATATAT